GATGTCTGCCTTCCCGGGCCACAGAGAGTCCCACTCACAGGGCAGGGCTGAGGAAAATGTGACTCTACCCCTTTGTGGAGAATCTCCAGCCCCAGGCGGGTGGGGTGGAGCCGGGACAGCCCTGTTTCCTCAGGCGCCCTCATTCAATGAGCCCTGGATGCTTTACATTAAACCCTTGAAGACCCCAGCCAGGCTGGTGGCAACATTTTCCCACCCTGTCTCTGTGGTTTGTCATCCTCTCTGGCATCACAAGAGCAGGAGATATGGCTGGAGAGTTGGTGGTAAAAGACAATCTTGCTTTCTAGACAAAAATATCCAACTGTCCCCTACCCCAAAGTCAGTAAGCCTGGCTCCTGCTGAGAGCAGGCAAGGGAGGGTGAGGGCAGGGGTGAGAAGAGGGAGAGGAGACAGAAATGGGAAGCAGTCGCCTAGACAATTATTAAATTGTTCCATCTCTGATGAATCACTAGTGGCCTGCTAAATCCTTTTTTGATTTAAGAGAGATCCTGTGACTGTGACACGTAAATATTCAGGAGTAATCTGTCGGACAGGAGGAACTCACAGGCTTGGAGAGGTGGTGCCCATCCCCTGAGAAAAGGAGAGAGTCAGGGGCACACGCACATCCTGAGCCTTGGGAGAGGCTGGAGGCCACTTAAGCAGCAATGTCCTTGGCAGCAACAGCTTCAGCAAATGCAACCTGGGGCATCCCACGTGCCCAGTCCCATGACCAGCTCTCCCGGGTGGTTTTGAGGCCCAGCCTCAGCCTTGCGCTTATAGGGATAAGGGGTCAGGGGCTGGCTGGTGTGGCTCCAAAGGAGGACAGCTACATTGGGCGTGGCACACCGGGGCCCAGTGTGGGGCAGGGAGGGGTGGGCATGGACTTTCCTCCTCCGTGGTGAATTAAGGGCCTGAAGATGGGGGAGGGCTGAGTTCAGGGGGACCTGGGGAAGTCCTGGCTTCTTTCAGGTCCAATGGCTCTGGGCCTGAGACCCCCTGTGCTTTCCCAGGCTGGAGGAGCCTGATATCTCCTCACAAGATAGATGACCCCAGATGGTCTCAAGACCCCACTCTGGCCACGGCTCCTGGCTGAGAGCCAGGGCTTCCAGGTCCCGGATCAGAGTCTGGAGAGGAATGGAAGCAGGTGCCCCATCGAGGATGTTTTCAGAGCCGGGAGCCATTGGTGGGTCAGTTGGGATCTCTGGGAGGGGTGTTTTCTGATTTGCTCTACTCTCTCTCCAGGCTCCACCAGGACTGTGTTCTAGCTTTCCACTCTCAGTCACCGCTCTCTGCCCCAGTTCAGGAAAGCTGGAGCAATTCTAGGAAACTCGCCCAAGCTGTTGGTGAGCTGATGGCGATGGGAGGCTCCTCTCCCCAAACCCTATCCTCCTGCAAGGCCTCATGGAGGAAATGAAGTTATGGCTTTCTGTAACCCGGCCTGGGGATGAGAAATCCCTTTTGGGCCTGGAGGGAGGGCCCATTCCTTTGGGTCCCTCTGCCCTGCACTCAACAGTGGCTTGGGGCTGGTGACATCTGGGCCACACCCTGGGTGTCTTCTCTCCACACAGCCCACACTCCAGATCCTTCACTGCTATCTGTGAGCCTGGACAGAAGCTGAAGTCCTCCCACTGGATCTCTGTGGAGACAGGGCTCAGGCATCCTGGGAACAATCACCTCTGGGACAGGACGTGGGTCTCACAGGCGTGCCAGGAATGAGGCACATCTGGAAGAGCATTTGCCGAAGCTCTTGCTGCCAAGGACGTTGCTGCTTGAGTGGCCTGCAGCCTCTCCCAAGGCTCAGGAGCTGGGGGTGGAGGGCTCCCCCTTATATAGCCTGGCTATGCCACTGTCCATGGGAGGGATACAGAGCCAGCATGGGGTGAAGGGACAGCACCTGCCAAGGTGGGACACACTGGAGGAGGGGCTGAGCTGGACACAGCAGCAGATGCCTGGCTGCTGTGACTGCAAGGGTGGCTCTGGTTGCAGTTGCGCTTCCCTGTGGTCCATGTTGAGCCCAAAGCTGTCTTGGCAGGAAGGTTGGAGCTGTCCCTTACTCCTGCTCACCTGGCATCTCCTGGGGTCTGGAACCCCAGCCCTTGTGCTTTCTCCTGGCCCAAGAGAGATGTGCCAGGTGCACGTGGGTGTGGAGGCCCTCCCTTACAGGGGAACCTGGGCTCTGGACTAGATTGCCTGTCTGGCAATCCCAGCTCCACCTTTCCATGGCAAGTCACATTTACCCATGAGCCTCCCAGAGTGGTGGAGAGTGAGGTCTGCACTAGTGTTTCCAGCCATGCTTCCATCCTGATGATGCTCCTGATGCTGGCAGTCCCTTTGCCCATAGGAATGGAGCTATTGTGATGGCCATGCTGGTATGGGAGAGGGGGACCCAGGATGCAGGGGTGGCAGAAGTATCACTCCAGGATCCTGTTATCTTGATTGGTGGATGCATGATTTGCCTAGATAAAAATGCTTTGCCCAACCTGTTATTCCTGGGTCCCCCAGTTCCTAGCTGCTCCAAAGAGGGGTGGGCCTGTGCTGGTGCACCACCCCTGCCCCCCCCCCCATGCATGAACTCCACATGGAGACCCTGAGCAGCTGTAACAGAATGGAGGCTTCAGAAGGATGTGGAGCTGGTCTGTGTAGCTCTCGGCCATCTTTCCAGGGCCCAGAACAGTGTTTTCCAGGTAACCTGGGCTAAGCAAACATCTGTCAGATATATTAGTAAGTTCCTGGGGACTGTCAACCCCAGGCACAGTAGAACTCCAGGAATCCTCAGCTGGGTGGATCTGGACCTGGCCCTTGGACCTTGTCACAGACACCTGGGATACATACAGGTCCTGGAGGCCTAGGCGCCTGACTCCGTTCCGCTGCATGGCCATGCCAGCCCCTGATTGGAGCCAGCTCTCTCCTGCTGACTTCGAGTCCTCTTGGCTGGATCCCTTTGCCCTCAGCCTCAGATCTTAGCCCTGCACCAAATGAAGGGCAGGGACTGCAGTGGGCTCTCAGGGGCCAGGAATCGGAGGGGAGAGAAAGTGTGTCACCCCTCAGGGGACACAGTGTGAAGAAGACAAGCAGATACCTGTGACCTGAAGACCCTGGCCAGACAGCTGCTACCGCCCTGTCCCCAGGAGCCTGCCTTGGAGGGGGCACAGGGCTGTCTTCTGAAATCTCAGGGTAAAAGCATTCCAGCTCTGCAGAGAGAGAGAGGTCAGAGGTCCCAGAGAATGCCTCACCAGGGGTGAGTCAGGGCACCAGGCCAGGGCCCAGGGCCCGAGGGAGCCTCCTCCCAGGACACAAATGCTGAGCCAGGGCTGCCCAGAGTAAAGGTTATGGGGGAGGTTCCAGGAGGTAGTCCACTGGGCCTGCTCCCTCTCTCAGAGGGTTAATAACGCACTGATTACCTCCAGCTGCCCGGTAGTCTGAGTGCACAGGGCCTGCCAGCCTCCATGCCAACAGCCTCTGGCCACTCCCTGCTGCTCTTACAGGCAATAGCTGCCTGTCAGAGAACGCAGCTTCCCAGCCGGCTGCCTGCTCCTGGGAAATGTACACCACACTGCTCCCTGGGCTTTCAGGGCAGCAGCTGGGCAGAGGGTGGCCTGTGGAGGTGGAGTCATTCTCTGCAGCCTGGACCCTGGACAGGAGGAGGGATACAACTCACGTGTTGTCTCTGTCCTGCCCGCAGCACACCTATGACACAGGGAAGTGACTCTTGTCTCTCAGCCTCACTTTCTACACCGACAAATGAGATAAATTTGCTCGGGATTCGAACTGTGGTGGGCAGGAGGGAGGTGGGAGGAGATCCTCCTTCCTGATGGCAGAGAGGGACCGTCCCTGCTGAGCCTGTCTCACCTTTCAACACATTCACGTGCCACAGGCAAATGGGCTGGGCTGGCCTTTCAGATAGCACCCTGGCCCGGGAGTCCAGACTTGGGCTCTGCTTATTAATTGCAGCTGGATGTCCACAGGGCACAGGCTGGGTCTGCAGCACTGCCTCTTCTCTTCCCCCTGCTGGGCAGCCTGTCCGCCTCACCCCTTCTCTTTCCTCTCTCCCCTTACTGCTTCTTGGCTCTTCTCCCTGCCTCTGTCTCAGCATCAGTCTCTGTCTCTGCAAGGGGAATCTCTTCCTTCTTCTCCCTTCCATTTAGTTCTAATCTGTTCCCTGCAGCTATCCTTCATGCTCTTCCTTGTCCCAGAAGCTCACAGGCACAATACACCTTTCTCCTGATTAAGTGAGGGCTTAGGATACGACCTGGAGAGACCATGTCTCCCTGTCTGACCTTACTGGCCTGGGTTGCCATTCCTTCTGGCTCTTTAGTGACCTGCCAGCTCAATTGCTTGTGCGAGTGAAGTTCTGAACTTCCCCCATCTCCTCCCAAGCTGTCCTCAAATCACTGGTTCAAACTGTTCCTAAGTTCGAGGGCTCTTGGGTGGAAGCTTCCCAACATGCTGTCTCAGGTCTGCCCTTGACCACACCAAGGAGGGCAGCCTCCTGACAAAGCTCTCTGTACTCGCTGAAGCTTTTTGCCCCCATCAACCCATGCCTGGCTGGTGGGGGTGTCATCTCTAAAGTGACATGTAGCCACTGGGTTCAGGCTGGGTATGGCAGGCCCAGGCTGCCCCTCCTGGATCCCTGGAGCCACCAACCTCAGGACTAACAGTGTCACACCACAGTGGGATGAAGATTCCAGGCAGGCGAGATCTTGGTGCTCATCTCCAAGGAGGGCAGCGTCCACCCACTGGGGCCAATCCCCCACCTCCTCCCTTTGGAGTGCCTGGCTCTGCTGTCCGGGCACCCCCTGAGCTTTGCACACTGGGCAGGACACCTGGATTTCTTTGGCCCCCTGAGTGGGGCCAGCTCAGAGGAATTTCTCAAAGCCTATTAGAGCAACAGCTGCCTCCTGCCTGCCTCCTGGGCTGGGCAGGGCTGAGGGCGGAGGGAGAGAGGGAGGGAGGTGGGAGGGAGGGAGAGAGGAGGAAGGAATAAAAGTTGGCAGGCGGACAGCAGAGCTCAGTCTGCATCTATCACAGAGAGGAGGCCTGTGTGGTGTGGGCTGGGCCAGGAGCAAGGAGAGGCCTTCCTCCCTTTGTGCTCCCCCCGCCCCCCCCAGCCCTATAAAGAGGCCCAGCCCAGGCTGTGGCTCAGCCCTCGGAGGGACTCGAGCACCAGGCAGCGAGCAGTCTCAAGCCAAGCCCCCAGCTAACATGGCCAGCGAGTTCAAGAAGAAGATCTTCTGGAGGGCCGTGGTGGCCGAGTTCCTGGCCATGACCCTCTTTGTCTTCATCAGTATCGGCACTGCCCTGGGCTTCAACTACCCACTGAGGGTAAATCAGACAGCGGTGCAGGACAACGTGAAGGTGTCGCTGGCCTTCGGGCTGAGCATTGCCACATTGGCCCAGAGCGTGGGCCACATCAGCGGCGCCCACCTCAACCCAGCTGTCACACTGGGGCTGCTGCTCAGCTGTCAGATCAGCATCCTCCGGGCAGTCATGTACATCATCGCCCAGTGTGTGGGGGCCATCGTCGCCACCGCCATCCTCTCGGGCATCACCTCCAACCTGCCCCAAAACTCGCTCGGCCGCAATGACGTGAGTGGGGTGCCCCAGGCTTGGGGGGGGCTCTGGAATGGTGCAGAGAGGGCACTAGTCCCATGTTCTGCCCATTTTGTGGATGGGGACACTGAGGGAGAGAGAGGACAAGAGGTTGTTGGGGGTTTTGTGGGGTTGTGCCTGGAGCTCAGCTCTGCTGCAGCTCTGGCCTGGTTTCTGCCGGCCTCTGTGGAAATCAGAACAGGAGAAAAGTGATTGTGCCAATGTCCCCTGCAGAGCGTCTGTTGTGGGGAATGAGTTTGGAGGCACTAACTTCAGGCCAGCAGTTCCTCATGCCCAGACTGTAGTTTCTTGGCCCTGCTCAGCCCTGCCCGGGGAGCCAGCTTCCTCCTCTGCAGCCCTGCACCCTGGGAAAACTCTACCTGCTGTCCCCAGCCATGCTGCTCCAGATGTGGGGCACCTCCACAGCAGCGTCTGCAGGAGTGTGAGCAGGACTCCCTTGGAGAGATTCCTAGGCTTTCAGGCAGCCCTCCATTTTTACACACTTCCCCAAATCATCTCCCCCAGGGAGTCAGTGAAAGAGTGCCTCAATTCCTCTCCCACTGGACATCAGACAAGGGCAAGGGAGTGAAAACACTTTTACTGGGTGACGGAGAAAGGTAGGAGGCAAGGGCCGGGCCCACAGTGCCTAGACAGAGAGGGGTGTGGCATGTGTGTTTGTGTGTGTGCAGGTGTGGGTGTGCATATGCTTGCCAGCGTGGATCTCTGAGCTTGGGTAAGCTGTATGGACATTCATGCTCCTGTGTGAAGGTGTGTGTGGGTGAGTGTGTAACTGCATGTACCCATTGCTTCTGGCGTGAATAGGAAGCAGATGTTAGCAACTGGGTGGCAGCTGCTGAAAATAATTGCCCCTAGGCTGCTTAGCATGGCTAAATGGCCATTGGTGGTGGCTGCCTGCTGTCACAGACCCCAGCTATTCCAGCTCCCCAGCCAAGTGCAAACACTGAATGCCCTTGCCATGCATCAGGGTGCAAATGGCCTTAGTGGCCACATAAGGGGAGTGAGAGGCCTAAGGGGACTGGGGGTACCCTTTTTGGGAAGGAGATGGACCAAGAGCACAGAGGAGGAACAGATCTGGAGAAATGTGGCTGGGGGTCCCTGCAGGTCTGGTGGGTGTGGGGACAGCAAAAGAGCAGGGGAGGGCTTCTCAGAGATGGCAATGGGTGATTACAGTTCTCATTTTCCAGCCAGAGTCCAGTCCTGCTGCCCAGAGGCTAGGTAAGAGTCTGGAGCAGAGGGCAGTTGTCGTGGCCCCGCCACAGGTGATGAGCACTTCTTCTGTCACATTGACACCTTCCCAGCCCTCTGTTGAGTCAACTTCTACTCAGCCGAAGATTGAAGATTAGCTCTGTGACTGGAGTTTAGACTTTAGCCAGGAAAGATGTGGCTGTGAAAGACAAAAGGACAGAGCTTGGATTGGCCATGGCCCCCCAGGCCTCAGTCTCCTCAGCAGAAGCAGAGTAGGTTGACCTCAGGGAATCCTTGTGGGTAGGGCCAAGTTCACACTGGGGCTTGGCTGGGTAGAATGGAGGTGGGGAAGGCTCTCCCTGAGGGCGGGATGGAGACTCCTAGACATACTGGCTCCCTCTTTCTCTCCCAACTCAGAGGACAAGCAGGACTTATGCACCTGCTGGAAAAGGCTTTGTACTGTCTGGTGTGGGCATCCAGCACAGGAGTGGGAGGGCAGAGCTCTTCTGCACCGTCTGGGTCTGGCCATACCCTGCTTTGGTTCTCCATCCTTTCTAGCTTCCATTTTCCAGAGGCTGGTGGGGGCTCTGGCCCTGCCCTGTCTAGACAATGGACATTTGGGGTTCAGGAGCACAGGTATGGGCTTAGAAACAGGTGGCCCCTAACCCTGCCACTCAGACACTGACCTGAGACCTGGGGGCACCTGGGAGTGGCTGTGATGACTCCAGAGGGACAGTGCACAGTCCACACAGCAGGTGACACACTCTTTCCTCCATGCTCTGGGGGAGGCTCCCACAGCCCCTCAGTTCTCCCGCCCCTCCCTGGCCAAAACCTGGGTGGGACAGATCGTTGTCTTGGAGATTTCCAAAGAAATTAAGGGAAAAGTGGCAGGAAGTGGTTGAGTGAGTCAAGGGGTGTCCCCTGGGGACATAGTAGGGACAACTTTCTCCTCACTGAGTCAGGACCCAGGACACGCCCTACAGAGACCACAGGCCTTTGTCCACCCTGCACTGTCCCAGTTAGTTCTGAGAGCCAAACCCTGATTTTGGCCAAGAGTGAGAGGTTCTGCAGGGTGGCTACTCTGGCCTGCCCCTGCCCTGGCTCAGCCACTGATATCCTATGTGACTCCACAGAACTAACCTGACTGATGTGGCCCAGGTTCATCTGTGAGCAGGACACAGAGGGTGTGGCTGGCTCAGGAAGTAGAAGATGCTGGGGCCCCGGGAGTCCCAGCATTCTCTGGCTGTTTTCATTCTTCTCCTCCCTGGCCAGCTCCCTGCAGACATTGATGAGGCTGCTGGGTGCTCAGTGCAGCCCTGGGAAGTACACAGTCCCAGAACAAGATAAGCCCTGTGTGCAGCTGGCTGTGATAAGAGACAGCAGGCAGGTGTGATAAAGAGGGGTCAGGGCTGGCTTAAGAACTTTGGAACTGGAACGGTGGGAAAGCCAGGTGGGCTTCAGGGAAGAGATGCTGTATGAACTCAAATGTGGAGACCCTATAGAGGGAAGGGGCTTCTGGCCAGAGTGCTTGTGTTTGCTTAAGCAAGAAGGCAGTAGACGCTGTGGCTGAGGGTCACTGGATCTAGTCTGAAGGGGCCCTGGTCAGGCCAGTGCCTGCATCTGGAGGGCGCTCCGTCCCCAGCTCCTATGAGCTCAGCCATCCTGGGGATGCAGAGGGGGCAAATCTACTCACAATCGGGTCCTTCTTAGCCCTGCTGGTGGTGCCACAGCCAGGACACATAATTACTGTTTCCAGGGGGTTAAGAGAGGGGCTGCCTTCACTCATTCAAGGGCCTAAGTGCTTGGAAAATGCTCCCATGTGCTGCCCCAGCAGCCTGGCCTTGGTTCTAAATGCTCCCCATCCCCCAGTTTCTGGGGCCTCGGTTTTCCCAGCTAGAGGGACAGAGGTCCGTCCCTCCATGTCCCCAGTTCTCCCAAGATAGAGGCCCCTGTTGCCTCCTCCAGGGCTTAGAGGTGGACCGGGGAAAGGGAAGCCAGAGTTTCCGATGACCCTGCTCAGGCCAACCTGCCTGGGGAGAGGGCGGGGGGCCGGGTGGTGGTGCCTTAGCCAGGACGTATAATTACTGTTTCCAGCCAGAACAGATGAGAGGGGAGGGCAGCAGCTTTGCGGTGGAGACTTCCCTCACCACGGAAAGTTCTGAGCTGCCTCCCCCAGTGGAGCCCTCTGAGCAGCCCAGCCAGTGCCAGTATGGCCCACCCCAGTGCTCGGCCTCCTCCCAGGAGCCCACATCTGCAGGGGCAGGATTGTGAGAGGACGTGTGGCTCCATGGGTGGCCCCAGGCCCCTTTCGCCCTGGCTTCCTGCTCTCAGCCAGGCACCCTCCAGCTATACGAAGTGGCCCAGTAACTCATCACGAGCCCACTCCATGCAGCCACCCCAGCCCGGGCCCCACCCAGCAGGTATTGCTAGCCCATCAGCCCTTCCTCAGACAGGTCACACATCCTCCCAGTTGGCTGGTGAACTTTTCCTGGTGGTAAAGGAGCCTTCATTTCTACCTGGCAGAGGCTTCCTGCAGGCCCTGGTGCCCACTCTTCAGAACCACCAAGTGGATCTGGGGTCTCCTCTATGGCAGGGCTTGGAACCACACACCTGCAGATATGGGCAGGAAAGTGTTGTCCCCGAGGGCACAGGTGTGGCCAGGGTTTCCTCAGGGTCTCTCCCTGGGGACCAGATGTGTTCCTTGCCCACAGTGGGTTAAGTGAAGGGCTGTTTTCACTCATCCAAGAAGCTGCGGATCACTCAGACCAGCACAACCAGAGGCTGAAGCCCATAACTAAAAGTAGGCAGAAAAGGCTGGAAAAGGTCTTCACTGCCATTAGCAGTTCCCCATCATGGCCTGAAAGGCAGTAGGGTTCCTGTCAGGGGCAGGTTCTGTTTGATACAAAGAATTATTACTTTCTTTTTTTTTTTGGTACCGGGGATTGAACTTGGGACCTTGCGCTTGCGAGGCAGGCGGCAAAACCACTGAGCTAAATCCCTGGCCCTGAATTATTGCTTTTTAATTGGGAAGCAGTGGCCTGTAAGTTAATGAGCTCCCTAGGGGTGTGTGCAGTGAACCTACCTGGCATGGAGGCCTTTCAGGGGCACCTAGCTGAGCAGGGGTACAGTGAGGTGGCTGGAGGTCCTGTGACATAGGATTTGTGTTGGGCTGAGGGTAGCAGTACAGTTGGATGTGGAGGGATTCTGTGCTCAGGCTTCTAGATCCTGATGGTGTCTGTCCGATGTCAGGCAAGGAGGGATGCTGGAGACTGCCTGGGCTGGAATCAGGGCCACAGTCTCCATTTTACTGGTGGGGAATCTGGCAAACAGCAGCATGGAGCCTTGTCAGGGTGCACAGTGAGTTATGGCAGGGCAGGACCATGCCCCCAACCTCCTGGCTCCCACTGCATGATTTTTCTGCTCCAAAAAGCACACTCTCTTGCTGCACAAACACGTACACATTCAGACATTTGTGTATACATGGTACACATGGTGGCACATGCATGGGACATTCTCAAGGGCCCCTCAGGCCCTGAAATCCTGGGGTAGGGCCTCTTCAACGAAGCCTTTTCTTTTTCCTGCCCTAGAGTAAGGAAAAGAAGGAGGAAGGGAGAGAGGAAGCCATTGCTTTGTGCATTGTTCCTTGTTGGGGAGATAAAATGGCTGCTGAGAGCAAATAAAAGACCCTTTGAGACCTGCTGCTTTCTCACTCAAGAGAGCTCCTTCCCTTCTCTGATCCCCTCCCCTCTCTATTCAACAGTAGCACCCATGGGGGTGTGTAACACCAGTAAAACACTCAGAAATGTCATCAAATATGCCACTGCAAACCTACAGCTATTGTCCAGGACCTTGTGACACACAGAGACCCTAGCCATACAGAGCACGGGGAAGGCTCAGTGTACCTGGCCAGCACCTGATCAGTTTGTCTAAATGTCCCATGTAGGTTTAAGAAGAGTATCTGTTCTTTGCTATTCTTTAATTTTGGGGTGCAGTATTTGTCCTGTTTCACTGAAATCGAGCTTGTTAATTTTGTGGTTCAATTCCTCTCATTTGTGTTATTAGCATTTTTTGACTGCTTCTTTTTATCAATTTCTAAGGGCAGATTGTTAAAAATCTTTCAATCAGGGAGTAGATTGATCCAATTCTTGTAATTCTATCAATTTTTACACCATTTGTTTTTGGCTATGTTGTTTAGTACATACAAGTTGAGGATTTTTGTAGTTTTTTGATAGATTTTTTTCATTTAATTATTGTGTGATAAACCTCTTAAAGTCTAACAAAAGAGAGAGAGTTATCCTGGGGCCCATCCCCAGACACACACACATATTGTCACTCAGAGAAGAGATAGATATACAAAGCCACACAGGGGCACACAAAGCCATGGACACCACCATGTACACACATGAATACTCACAGAGAGGTGATATAATGGGGCCTGCAAGGTTCCTCCAACTGCCCAGGACTGAGTCCTGGAAGCACTGGGGTGGGCAGGGCAGTCCTTGATCTTCCTTGTTCTCTGCTCCTTGAGAGCAGATGTTCAGAGCCTCAGCCATGGGCTGAGGTATGCCAGCATGCCCAGACCAAGTTGGAGGCCCTGGACCTCGGAAGCTACTCTGTTGGCCTGCTTTCAGGTGGAAGGGAGGGTTCAGATCCCATTGGCTAGAGAGGTCAGTTCTGGAGCCTGGGACATGCTGGCAGCCAAAGAGCCACCTTTGCCAACTCCCCAGTCGAAGCTGGGAATACCCAGGGCCCTTGGTAGCCAGCACACTGGTCCATGAGTGAGAGGTGGCACATACCCCAGGGCAGGGATCCAGGCTTTGCTGCCTCCTCCCTGAGCCTCAGCCTCCCCTCTGTCCTCTCATTGAGTCTGGCACAGAAAGACCTGTAGGCTTGGACAGGGAGTTGTGGGGATCCCAGGCTGGAAGGAGGTAAGGTGCCCACATGGGAGGCATGTAGGGTCCTCGCCTCCAGGAGGCAAAGAGTTCAGTGAGGGTGCGGCAGCATGGAGCAGATTTAATCACAGCCAGGGAGACTGGGAGTCTTCTTGGAGCTGGTAGATCTGACTGGGGCCTTGAGCAGTGAGCTCACATGGGTTTGGTGTTCAGATAGAGAATTTATAACTTTCTGATGCTTCAGAAGAATTGTGTGGATTATTTTCTTCTTCACACTGGCATTAGCAAAATTAATTTTACTATATTTAATTTAATCAATAAAATACAAGTCCTGAGCCATCCAAAACTATGTGGGAAAGTACAAACATATTTTTTCTTCTAGCAAGTAACCATATCTCAGATAGGCCCTATTTAAGCAATTGTTTCAAATTTAATAGATTGTATTCAGTCAAATAAGGTTTGATTATGTTTTTACCTACTCTTTCCTAGATGTCAAGTTTTAATGGACCTTTAACTGTGCCTTCTAATTCTTAATTATGTTTTTCCACATGTAAGTAATGCAAGTGGATTAAGTGGTTCAAGGAAGAGCCCACCAGAGGATGTTGATGCAAACCAAGGGGTGCTTACCAGGGTGGTAGTGGGGAAGAGGGTATTAGAAGAAGCAGGTTGCCAGCCCTGAGGTTCCTGGCTGCCAGGAAGCAGGTACCTCCTGCAGCTCCCAGGGCAGGTGGCTGCTCTTCCCCTTCCCCAGGACTCAGAACACTGGGCCTGGCATTATGACCTGCTCTGTTCCCTTTGCATGGGAAGTGATGCCTTGGGCAGGGGCTGGGACTCTCAGCCCTGGTTAAGAACCGGAGAAGATGAGCTGCATCTGGGAGAGGGTGAAGTGAGGACCAGGGTGGGGTGTGTGTGTGTGTGTGTGTGTGTGTGTGTGTGTGTGTGTGTGTGTGTGTGTGCTGAGCAGGAGCCACTTATAGCCATGGCTCCGGGAATCAGCAAGAAAGGGATGGTTTCAGGATTCCCGACAGCTAGCAATTAGGCTCATCCTAGAGAGCAGAGCAATGAGCAAGAGAAGAGTTGAACTTTACTGGGCCTCCCAGTGTGAATGTGGATGGGACAGCTAAGCCTGCATGGCCTCCCCTCCACCCAGCCAACCTGGCTTCTGGAGGACCCTTGCCAGCAGCTCTAGGGACCTCACTGTCTCTTGAATACCTGTGTAGGCTGGGCCCTTCCTCTCTGCCTGTCCTCATATCCTATGGAAATAATGAGAAAGAACCAGAATAAGAACCACAGTCTCTCCTTCCAGATGCCCTGAGACAGCCCCTTTGCCTTTGACCCTCTCACAATGCCCTAGAGAGTGAGCAGGGAGCATTAGATCCACTTTGCACATGGAAAAACCGAGGATTAGAAGGGTCAAGCTGTGTTCCTTGTGCCAGCAAGTAGAACAGTCAGGATCTGAACACAGAGTAGACATTGCCTGGCCTTGAGGCAGGAAGAGAACTAGGCACTGCCCAGAGGGCTGCCTGATGGGACTCAGTTCTGGGGTCCGCCAGAAAAGGCCCAGAGCTAAGACCGTAAGGCAGGGGAGGGGATGTGAGTCATTCCCTTTAAACCTGCAAGGCAGACAAAAGCTGGAAGAGAATTGTTCTTTTAAGATGGTCTTGAACAGGGCTGGGAAAACCTCTGCAGGAATGGAGGTGTGTCCCCCACCTAGGATTTTGCAGAATGTCCTGTAGCCTTAAGAGATACCCCAGCACCCTCAGGATGGGAACTGGGAAGGGAGACTCAAAGCTCTAGCTTGTTGAGACACTGCCCGGCCTGGGAGAAGGCAGCCTAGGTGGCAAAACTGGGCATCTTTGCAAGTGAACCTTTGTGACTTGGTTCAGTTGCCCTATGTGGGTGTTCTGCTCCCATCCCGTGGAGCAGGATGCAGGGTGCCCTGGAGAGTCCTCTGGGTGCAGTTGCTGGCGAGAGAGGGCTTAGCTGACCTTGTGGCAGCTCTCATTCCCTTCTTTTTCTGTGAGTCATGTTTCTAAAAGTGGCCTAGGAGCCGTGGCAGCCAGACTGTAGTGGTGAGACCTGGTGGCCAAAGAAAGGAAGGGGAGGGCCAGAGCCAGGGCAGAGGGGAGACAGAAGGAAAGACAGGGAGGCCATGGCCGAAGGAAATGGGAGAGAGACACTGGATCAGGGAAAGAGGGAGACTGCATGGGGAAGAAGAGATGGGGTGGAGGTGAGGATATGGGACCAAAGGAGAGACCACAGGGCTGGGAGAGCTAAGAGAAGAAGATGCCCCCAGCTTCGGGATGCTTAGAGGCAGCAGGGCATGGCATGGAAAGTTCCGACTCTGGGGCATGAAGCAGTGTCCCCAGCTGGGCCCTCCTATTCACTTGCTTCTTTCTATTCTCCTGTAAAAGGCCCTGACCATCTCCTCCCATGCCTGAGCCTTGCCCCTCACCTTTGGCCTTGGGAACCCCAGAGTACCTGGGCCTGGGCCCTACCTCGCCTCAGGCATCAGGGAAGAGCGGGAGATACTGGGCTGTGCTCAGCACTAGCGGGAGGGGACTGATGACCAGTGCCTGCTGTGTGCCTGGGCAGAGCCGGGCTCCCTCTGAGCACAGTGAAAGCACTGAGGGTCTGACCCTAGTGCCAGGGCCTGGGACACTTGGAGGTCTTGGGACGTAGTTTCCATCCTCCCTGCTCACCATGCCTCCTTGCTCTTCTCCCCTACAGCTGGCCCCTGGTGTGAACTCAGGCCAGGGCCTAGGCATTGAGATCATCGGCACTCTGCAGCTGGTGCTGTGTGTGCTGGCCACCACTGACCGGAGACGACGTGACCTTGGTGGCTCTGCTCCCTTAGCCATCGGCCTCTCTGTGGCCCTGGGGCACCTGCTGGCGGTGAGTGGAGGGCCTTCCCACATGGGGTGGGCCGGGGAGGGCAGGCCAGGTGGGGAAGCCCTGCATGGGCAGTGAAAGCCTCTGGATGAAGCTGCACTGCGGTGGGAATGGTCGGCCAGCTCTGGGGGCAGGTATGTTGCTGGCCACCTTCCCGGGTCAGTGCTCCTCTCTCCTGGGTCTGATTCCTCCTCGCCTGTCCCTTTCCTTCTGTCCTCTGTTTTCTCACCTGTCTCTCTCCTGTCACTTTCTTTGCACTCCTTCCCACCCCCAGATCGACTACACTGGCTGTGGTATTAACCCTGCTCGGTCCTTTGGCTCCGCGGTGATCACCCACAACTTCAGCAACCACTGGGTAAGCTGGGGCTTTGAGGTCACAGGGCAAGTTCAACACCGCCACGTGGCATCCTTCTCCCTACCGGGGCTGTGGGAAGCTGCCAGGGCAGAGAAAATCAGGAGACAGAGGCCCGAGATGAAGGGGTGGTGGGGCCACATTGGAGCAGTTAGGCCCAGCCTCTGCCTTCCTAGTTTAGACTGCCCCACCCTGCCCCACCTAGTGGCCCTGAGCCACCCTAGCAGAAGTCTCACCTCTGCCACTTTCTGATTCAGGGAGACCTTGGGCAAGCTGCTCACCCACTCTGTTGGTTCCTCAAGCTGTGTGGTGGCATAATGGTAGCTCTTCTCTGCCAGGAGGGGAAAGAATCTGAGCTAAGCACAGAGAGAGCACTCTGTGGGCTTCAGCTCTAATTATCACTGATGTGCATGTTCCAGGCCAGCCCTGTGTTAGACTGGACTGTCTCTGGGGCCCTTCCAGGGCCGGGGCAGTGGTGGGTGGGTGGGCAATGGGCATCTTCAGGAGGCTGGAACTGACATGCCTGAGCTGGCCCACACAGAGGCCAGGAGAGGCCCCTCCACACACCCTAGCCTGGCGCATCCTGGGGGAAACTGAGTCAGCAGGCTGGGATCCAGCCCTGCCTGCCTCTGTCCAGATCCAGGTGGGGGACAACTTCCAGTGGGGTGGTGGGGACTTCCCAGGGAGGAGCTGTGGGGTGCACCTCTCAGCCCCAGCCAGGTGCCCTCTGATCACATCTGTTCTCCTAGATCTTCTGGGTGGGGCCGTTCATCGGGGGAGCCCTGGCAGTGCTGATCTACGACTTCATCCTGGCCCCGAGAAGCAGTGACCTCACAGACCGCATGAAGGTGTGGACTGGCAGCCAGGTGGAGGAGTACGACCTGGATGCAGACGACATCAACTCCAGGGTGGAGATGAAGCCCAAATAGAAGGGCCTGCCCTAAGCATCCATGTGGGGGGCAGGGGCAGGGACGGGCAGAGGGAGGGGAGGGCTAAAATTCATATTGTAGACACTCTGCCAAGCTGGCCAACGTCAGTCCCCGAGGTTTGCCAAACCTGCATGGTCAGGCCTCGTTGGAGGTGTTTCTCTCACTTTCTTTCTTTCTCCATTTCCTGGGCCTCAAAGCTTCCTGGGGACCAAGATTCGCTAATTCACCCCTCCCTGTTGTCACTGAAGAAGTGAAAGAGAGGGACCCATCTGCTGTTGTCCCCTCAGAGTGTGTGGGGAGGTGTGCCAGAAAGTCTCCCCTCACCCCAAAGCTAGTTGCCAACTCGCCTGCCACAGGGGCCTGAGGTCCCACTGCATTGCTTTAGTGCCTCTGGTCAATGCCCTCCCTCCCTGCCAGGTACTGGCCCCAGGAATGCTTGAGGGAAAGAGTGGGCAGAGGGGTGCAGGTAGCAGACAAGATTAGCCCCTAAGTTTGGCTTGCTCCCAGGGCACCTCCCACCCCCAAGAGTTGCTGCATGACTTGGAGTTATCCCTGACTCAGGGCTTCGGTGACCGTCATCTGTAAAGTGGTAGGGACAGGGAGGACTGCGTAGATTCTGAACGTGTAAAGTACCACAGGTTCCAGAAGGCATGGCCAAGACCAGTGCAGCTCCACCCACTTGTCCTGGGCTTTTTCCCCAGCTGCATTCACATCTGTGTGCCTGTGCACTCTTATTCTGGAGCAGAGATAGACAGATAGCCCAGGTGGTTGAAGGTGCCTGTTCCCTGTGGGGAGTGGGGGCCTTCCCTAGACAGGGCCTGCTGTTGTAGAGTAAAGGCCATTTGGAGGGCGAAGGAAGGACCCTGATGTTCCCTCACTGAGGCTTAGTTGGTCTTCCTATCTATCACAGAATGAACTTCAACATTATTCCAGCACAGACCTAGGACACCATCGTGTGGGTGTGTTTGATAAAGGGCGCTTGGGTTATCTGAGGCCTCAAACCTGAGGACAGAAAGATTCTGATGTGAATCAGTCTATGGTGACAGGTGCCCTTTGCGGGGGTTCCAAGCTTGGTACTGATCCTGAGCAGGGAAGAACATCTCCTATACCTGCTCTTGAGGCCCTGGCTGGAGCCATCTGGGGCAGCTGAGTGAGCTGCTCAGGCTTGTTGTGTGACCCTCAGGCCATAGCCTTCTTTCCTCATTGACCTAGAGGGAAGAGGTCGGCCTTGACCTGATGAGGTAGCAGCTGGCTGATGAGCATCCCAGGTGCGGTTCAGAGCAGAGTCACCCTGGGGACTGATGTCTCCCACTCCACTCTACAAATCTGAAAGTCCGCTGGATTCCAGCAGGCCAGAGCAGCTCCACTACTGTGCCACAGCCATGAGGCCAACATACGCCGAGAGACACAACCACAAGCACGCAGAAGTTTAGAAGCAGGAGGTGAATGGGACCCCTTAGTGGTCACCAGCATATCACATCCTCACGCTCTCTTCTCCATTATGTAGCGGGAACTTCCAGCCTATTTAGCAGATAAGGAAACTGAGGCTCAAGGTCCCACAGCTAGATCAAGATTTGGCCATTCTACCAACCAAGGCCATGCCTGGCTCCTCCCCGGACCGTGAGGTGAACTCTTCTCATTCTCAGTTTCTCAGTTTGTGCCTGGGCAATGGCCAGGGGCCAAGGAGCAGGGAGGTTGTGATGGAGCAGGAGGGGCAGACCCAGCCCTGCCTGGTTCTGGCTGCTGTGTCCCAGGACCCTGCATCTGTCTGCTCAGCATTTATGTCTCTTTGGAATTGGAATTTTATTATATGTTAAGAAAATAAAGGAAAATGACTTATAATGTCCTCTAGATTCCTGTAGTTTTTTTTTTTTTCTTCTGGTGCTGCATCCTTACAAGGGTCTTCTGGATCTGTGAAGAGATTGGTCCCACTCATGAGACCTAGTGTGGGGTGGGGACACAGCCTCCCTGCTGTGCTCAAGATCCTTGGTCCCTGGGGGTGGGTACAGCTGCAGGACAGAACCCTGGATGCACACAGGATCCTGCCCCTGGGGCCTGGTGGGGTCATTTTGGAGGTCTTGGAGTAGCTGGGGAGGGGCAGAGGTCCTAATCATTTTAAGCAGCATGGATTCTGGAGGGTACAAGGGATGGAGAAGGGAAGGCCGACATCTGACAGCCGTATTAGTTCCCACTCCCTTCCTCAGAGCAGGTCCCTGGGAGTCACAGACCTGCCAGGCCTCTTCCCCACCTCCCTCAACTCACCCTCAGGATCTCACCACACTGGGCTGGGCACTGGGGCCCACAAGCTCTGCCCTAGGGAGCTCGGGCCTCTGGGGGATGGACTGGCTCTTCAGTGCTCTGTCAGCTGACACTCAGACCTGGCTTCCCCCCACCCACACAGGGTGTGGTATTTGTCCCAATCAGGGCCAGCTCTACTGAAAGAATGGGTGCTTGGTGACAGGAAACAGGCCAGGGGCCCATCATGTCTTCCACTGAGGCCTGGTGTCTGGAGGCTTCCAGAACCATCAACCCATAACAATCGCCCCGGGCCACACAGGCAGGTGTTGCCACAGAGTGGACTGAGCAGGGAAGAGCTGTGTAGGAAGGTCCTGGCACCCCAACACTACTCCTAAGAGACACACATACCCTGCTCCCTCTGTGGAGGCCCAGGCTGATGTGACACAGGAAAGGTTGGGGCAGGTAGAGCACCATGGTCACCCTAGGAGGGCTACGTCAATAGTGGCAACAGCCTTTCTTCTTCCAGTGCACACTGGGACTGGGCTGCCTCAGCCCATGCAAACTGCCCCAGCTTCAGGATGGGCTGGTATGAGTGGGAGAGGGACTGCGGGGCAGCAGGAATGGTGCAGAGGCTAGCGCAGTGCACCCCGGGCCCATCTGCCAGGTACACCCAGCCTCTCTCACACCCCTACTGGTCTTAGCTCCTTACATTGTCCCATTCTTCTAGGTGTGAAGTCTTCCGCATCCCTACTGTGGGCCCCAGCCAGTCCCACCCCGTTCCACCTCCATGCCATAACAGAGCCTTTCTTGTGGTATTGCTTCCAGAATTTATGACTACCAGAGTCCTTGAGCCCAGAGGTAGGGCCTGAGAAGAGGCCGAGCACTGGGGTTTCCGGAACACCTTCTAGATACGAGGAGCCTCTCTGTGACAGTGCATGCATTCTCTCTTAACTTTACAACTGCTTTGGAAAGTAGAGAGGTCCCCATTTACAGAAGACACCCAGGCCCCCTGAAGATGAACTGATTTCTCGAAGATGGCAGAACTGAGATTTGAACTCATTCTGCTTGACTTAAAGACTGGGATTTGCTTAGTTCTGGGCCAGCACCACAGCCAGCCTGCACTTAGCTGTGCCCCCTCCTGCAGAGTGGTGAGGGGGAGGAGGAAGGGAGAAAGGGTAGCCTGGAAGCCTGGGGCATCTGGAGAAACCCCTTTCATCCCAGGGCTGCCTGGAAGTGGTGTCAGCTTGAGTTACACTGGCATCCCCAGGCTGAGGCTGCTCCCTGGCACTAATCCTACCCCTGACTATTCCTCCCCCCAGGAGCAAAATAGCTGATACACTTGCTCACTTACCAGAGTACAGCTGAAAGGGAAAGGCAGTGCTGCACCACGAGGGCTAATGCTGCACTGAGAAACGCCTTGTAGCCAGGCTGTCCAGACTCCTCCTGCAGCCCATGAGCTCAGTGCTCCACACACCCATCTCCCTGGGATCATCCCAACCCCCCTCTGCACTGTGCTGTCCAGCCCAGCACAGAGAAGAGGTTTGGGGGCTCCTTGGGCAACTGGAGTCCTTGTCTGTTGTGTCCATCCATGTTTAACTGAGAGAGCAAATTTCCAGGACTCAACCTTTGTCTCTAGGCTGCTAAGCATTCAGGTCACTGCCCACGTGAGGTGCCCTCTCTGACCTGTTGCACCTCTTTGGCCAGGTCCCTACTGAGCCTGACCACAGGTCATTTTCTTTGGCAGGCTCTTGCCTGGCCAGATCCCTGAGGTGGACCCACAGGGGTGGCTCAGCCAGCATGGAAGGCTGCACTCCTCTGCACCTGGCTGATGAGGAAGCAGGATGTAATCTAGCAACCACTGAAGCCTAGAACATTTGTCTTTCCATTAAACTCACAAAACCAAGAAGCTATGGCTCTATAATTATATTAGAAGTCCCCCAGGACTTAGAATCTTGGAGCAGATCAGAAGATTTTCCAAAACCTTTTCCAGGGAGCATCAGTCCAAGCCCTGTGAATATTCTTATTAGCTGGAGGTTGAGTTTCCACAGCACATATATGTTTAAGCTCAAGCACTGGGTTAGTCCACACTGAGTTCTGAACATTTGGGAATCCGGGGTCCTTACAGCCTATATTTTCCCTTTTGGTATTTCTTTTCTCTTCTAACCTCAAGGGAACTCCTTTTTCCAGGTCCTGGAGTGGTGCTGAGAGGAATGGCTCTCTGAAGCCACCAGCCCAAGGGCCAGCCAAGTGGCTAAGCACAGGTGTGATGGACTCCAGTGGGATCAGTGGCTGTGACTCTGGCCCAGACCCCAGTGCTGTTGTTCTTCTCCAGGCTTGCATGGTTCCATGAGGGCCCAGATGGAAAGATATGCATGATTCAGGAAGACTCTTGCTACTGGACCCTAAGCACCCTGGTACCTTTTGAGGACTTGGTAAATGTAGGGAGAGTTGTCTCTCCTTTGGGGTTCCCAGGCTGGTCCTCAATGTCCCAGGAACAAAAGCCACCTGGAAAAGCCCTGGAGGAACCTGTCAGGCCCCTGCCTGTGGCGTGGCTGGGCCTGTGCTGGCCCACTGGGATTTTCCATCACTCCGGTAGGGCATACCTTCACTGGTCAGAAGCCTCTCAAGGAGGGGACAGTGATTAATGTTTTATGGGCGAACTGCTGGGCACGATGCCTTGTTTTCTTTAGGTTTAGAATATAATGAGGACAATGAGTGGAATTTGCTGCGGAGGGTGGGACCTGGGTGAGGCTGTTCTTGGGGCCTGATGACCCAAGGTGATGATGTTTACTGTCCTTAGTGTCAAAAGGGAGAAAGTTGCATAGGTAGGGAAGGCAGATGAAGCCCTTGCGTATAGGGCCAACTTCACCAACCTATGCACCAACCTACGGCAAGGGGTCAATGAGCTCCCCCAGACTAAGGGACTCTACTCATCCCAACAAAGCCACCTTCTCTGCATGTAGGATTTCTCTTATTTTTCTATTCTTTCCAATATATTGACCAGACAAGGAAGGAGGGCACAACAAATCCTCAGCTGTGGCGCAGCTACAGCTCCATCTGTTCTTAATATATTGAAATTGTTCTGGGTGGAAGATAGTGTTCAGTGTACATGAAAGAACTATCTATACAGCAAGCACCAAGTGTAAAGTGTGTGAATTCATGAATGCGGGTGACTTATCCCTGCATAATCTGTCTGTATTCATCCTCTGATCTGTCCTAAAACACTTCCAAGTGATTGTCACTCATTGGACAGCTCAGAGCAGTACTCAGGTCTGGACTCTGTGATCTTGGGCAGCCTCACCGAGGACCAGGCCTGCCACACAGTTAGAGGCTGGAGAAACATCCTCATCCCATAGTCACCCTATCTCTAAAAGATGTCACCACCATGTACTTGGTTTGCCTGTCACCAACCTGCCACCCATGTGGAATGTTGGCTTAAGGAGGCTGACCTGGCTGGGTTTGTTAGGGGGCACCTGGAACACACTTTTCAGTAAGCTACAAAATTGGTGACAGATGCACAACTTGGAGAAGAGTGTCACCTATTTTCCCTCCACCGTGGTGACATAAGGGAAGGGGTTGGAGGAAAAGGCTGCAAATGAGGCTAACCCACAAAAAGCACACTTGCAGGATGAAGACAGATCTCAAAATCAGACTCCCATTTGCTATAATATTGAAAATTCTAAAAGTAGGAATGTCTCCTCCTTGAACTTTGGTACTCTTTAAACTTCATTTATATTTTTCATGATGTAACTGAAATAGATAGGAATAACTTATGCCTTCAAAGAACTCAGAAATTTGAAACAAATGAAATCTACAACATCAAGAAATTCATTTAAATTATGTAAGTTTAAAGTTGCTGGCTGGAGGTGATGCCCACCATGCCACACCATGAGGGAATTAAGGTATTTTGAATATCACCTTGGCATGTGTGGGCACGTGAGCATTTGTGTGTGTGCATGGCTGCATGTGTGTGTGCCCACATGTGTTTGGCTCACTGGAGAGTGCTGTTGAGTCCGTCTTCCAGCTGCCCACACTCACTCTTAGCTGACTGTGGAACCGCTGCAGGTCTCCTGGGTCCTGTGGAGGACATGCCTGCTGGGAGGAGGTATGACCATCTCACCGCTTTCTGGCCCTTTGCTTCAACTCCAAGGAAGCTTCCTCTAGTCCAGCTGGGACTGGAAACACTGGGGGTCCCTTCCACAGACCCAGTCACAGGGTGGACCAGCATCACAGGTGGCAGCAGATGAAGCTGATGTGTCATGCTACGAGGAGCAAGTTCTCTTCTGGAAGCCACCCCTCCTCATTGCCCAGCCAGGCCTACAGCACCCATATCACCTTCTACCTTCTTGGCTAAAAGCCAGGTAGAAACTCAGGCCTCCTTCTTTGGATCTATTACACACAATACTGTTGTTCCTTGTCAATGAGATTTTTTTTCAATGAGAAACACAATAAATTCTAGATTGATAAGAATGCTGTGACCCTCTGCCTTTGTTTATCCCTGGTGCTCAGTGAACAGCCCCATGCAGCCATGCCCTGGAGGTGACACCCACGTTTAGGAAGGTGCAGTGTGGTCAGAGCTGGTTTCATAGCAGTACAGAGGCAGGTTTT